CTACAGTTTGCCTATTCTTGCCTCAATCCCATCACCTAGAAATTCTTTATGTTTCTTTCCATCCCTGCCAAGAATATTATCTCCATCCAAACTTACTAAAAGACCCCTGTGCAAATTGCTGACATTATATCAATCCTCTGTAGTTTGCTGAAAGTCCTGGTGGCAATGGGAAAATGTTGAAATAGAATCCCTTCCCCAGACCTACTGAGGAAGCTTTTATTGTCAGCAGCATGCCTCGAGCTCCATCTATCTGGAGGTCTTTATAATCAGCAGCCCCTTATTAAGACAAGTTACTCTAAAAAACAACAACAACAAAAAAACCTAAAAACATGCAAGGGTCGATCTCAAAGTAAGTACTTACAATTTTGTTGGTAAATAGGCTGCAGTGTCATCTTTATTTCTGATAATGTCATTACATTTTTCAAGTGTTTGAAAAACAGTGAAAGTGTCCCCAATGCTATAGAGGGCTGCGAGATTTTTAGCTAACAATTTTCGTGTCGGTGGTCCAGGTGAACTACTTATTAATCCGGTTAATTGTTCAACAAGTTTTTTCTGTTTTTCCTTAACATCAGTCTGTTATAAAAAAATAAAGAACATCAACAGTTTTTTAAATATGTACTTTTGTTGCCTTTGAGTAAAAATAAAAAATACTTAACAGTTAAGGCATTCTAATCATTAGGATATATATTACATTAGGCATAAAACAATAAATGAGAATTTTCAAGATGAGTTCAGTAGGAAATTAATCATTCTTTACTAGATTAAATAGCTTCCTTTGTTCCCCTCCAAAAGTTTCCATGCCAACTTACTAAGAAATAAACCAATAGTCCCAGGATGTATAATATTGGGCATATGGACAACTGATATCTTTAGAACCCAGATAAGCTCCTTTTTAAAAGCAAACTCAGTAGTCCAAAAAGTTATAGGTCAGTGAAGGAAGTCAAAAGAAACTTTGAAGGAGCCTTAAGCAACAGAAAAAACATTCAGATCTACCCATACTCAATACTAAAAATTCATTCATTCATTCATTCATTCATTCAAGAAATATGTATTGTGCACTTATTATATGCCATGCACTATTTTAAGGCATGACTATTCAAGGCAACAGTGAAATCTAGAATTTACATTCTAGAGGGGAGACACAGAATTCACCAAATAAACAACTGAATAGTGTGAGTTATTACTATTTTACATAGATTAGTGAGGAAGGCCTCCCTGAAAAGAAGTGAAGGTGTAAGATATGCAGATATCTGGGAAAGTAACATTCCAGGCAGAGAAAACTGTGTAAAGGCCTGGAGGAGGGTGTACGCTTAGCATGCTTGAGGACAGTGAGAAGGTCAGTATGACTGGAGCAGAGTAAGAGACAGGAAGTAGTAGGAGATGAAATCAGAAAGATAGAAGGGATCATGCTGTGTCGTGCCTTATACATCACTGTAAGAACTTTGTGTTTTATTCTGAGAGCACGAAGCAGAGGAGGGACATGATCTAAATGTTTTAACAGGCTCATTCTGATGGCTGAGCTAAGAATACAAGGTACATGTTGGAAGCAGTGAGCACTTAGGAAGCTTTTTGCAATAATCCAGATGAGAGATGGGGCTGATAACAATTGAGAAGATGAAAAGCAATTTAATTCTGGATATATTTAGTGGCTAGATCCAATTGGAGTTGATGATTATGATGTGAAATTTGAAAAAAAAAAAAAAAGTAAAAAATGCCTCTAAGGTTTATGACCTGACCAATTGGAAGGATGAAATATTCATTTCCTGAGGTGAAGAGCACTGGAGAAAGGACAGGTTTGGAAAGGGGAAATCAAGGATTTGTTTTTGAATATGTTAACTTTGAATATTCTGTTTAGATAGCCAAGATAAAGAGGTAGAGTGTCTCATTGGCTATCTGGGAATCATTACTGTATAGATCAGCGGTTCTCAACCTGTGGGTTGCGACCCCTTTGGGGGTCGAACAACCCTTTCACAGGGGTCGCCTAAGACCATCGGGAAACACATATATAATTACATATTGTTTTTGTGATTAATCACTATGCTTTAATTATGTTCAATTTGTAACAATGAAAATACATCCTGCATATCAGATATTTACATTACGATTCATAACAGTAGCAAAATTACAGTTATGAAGTAGCAACGAAAATAATTTTATGGTTGGGGGTCACCACAACATGAGGAACTATATTAAAGGGTTGCGCCATTAGGAAGGCTGAGAACCACTGGTATAGATAGTAGTAAAAATCTGAAAAATAGATGGTATCACTGTAAGAATAAGTATAGATAGATTTTTTTTTCAGGCTGACGCTCTATCCACTGAGCCAAACCTGTTAGGCAAGTATAGACAGATTTTTTAAAAAAGAAGGCTACCCAGAACTGAGAAAGAACCAAGAGAAGGAAATGAGGAGTAACTAGTGAAGAAGAGAACTAAAAGCAAATGGTGTCTTGGCGACTACGAATAGGAGGACTTCAGGCAGTGTGCATCCACAATAATGACAACAATCTATTGTTTAATTTGAATGGAAGTTTTACAGATATCCATATTATTATGCTTCATTAGATAACTTCGTATATACTCTTCTGTATTTTTCAATTTCAGAACAAACTAAAAAATACTTAAGTGTTTCAGGTAGAAGTTCATCTATGTCAATTAATACAGAATACTGATCCATTGATTTGGGCAATTTGAGATCACTAATGACTGGACAAGAGCTGTTTCAGTGGAGTAGAGGCAACAAATATTCAGCTGGAGGGGGTTTAAGAGAAAATAGAAACCTCTGTTAAAGAAACCTTACTAAAAGTATACTACTAAAGGGCAACACCCCCAAAACCACAAATCCACAAGGGTAAAGAAAACAGGAAATGAATCAATGCAAAAGATGGAAGCCAGGTATCTCCAGTAGGGAGAGCTGAGAAGAGACCCAACTTACAAGAAATCCCCTAAAAGCTCATGCTGTTTATTCGTGTTGTTTTGAGGCTCCAGGAGTTTATGGAGAAGTGAAGTTCTGTCTCGAAATGGAGGGAATGATTGAGAATCTACGACTCCCACATCTTTCTCCTCTATTCTGGACTTATGGGGCCCAGGCACAGCTGTGGGCTGAGAAAATGGCACTGAAAACTGGGTGGCTAAGTGAAAGTTTACATAATGAATGCTGAAGTCCCCGGCCTTCTCCCTCAATTCCTACAACCCAGGCAAGTAGTCGTACACCCTACAACATGAGAGCAGAAAAGTCTCTTCTGGGGAACGACTAGCCAAGAGAAACCTATGATACTACCAGCAAGGGTTTCTCAAAGAACTGGACTAGTCAACAGGTAAAGTACAATGAACAAACTTCACCCTGCCCAGAAAAACGTTTCATGGCTCACGCTCAAATTTGAGCAGACATCCAAAGATCATCAGATTTTGAGCAAAGTGTCTAATTTTCAAGACAGAAAAGCAACACACGGATAATCCAAGAGAAACCTATGATACTACCAGCAAGGGTTTCTCAAAGAACTGGACTAGTCAACAGGTAAAGTACAATGAACAAACTTCACCCTGCCCAGAAAAACGTTTCATGGCTCACGCTCAAATTTGAGCAGACATCCAAAGATCATCAGATTTTGAGCAAAGTGTCTAATTTTCAAGACAGAAAAGCAGCACACGGATAATGAGATAGACTATATGCAGGCCGAAGGAAATGGCAGGAAAGCCTATTAGTAACTCCTCAGAGGTACAAATGAAGATATTGGGGTGGCTAGGCAGCACGGAGGGACCACCTGCAGTGAGAGACGATGAATTCAAAGTGACACCGGTCATATAGCCGTGTTCTTCTCCTGTCACATTCAGCTGTCCAGGTGGAGGCATGAAATGGGCAACAAGGGGGGTTTAAAGGAGGTTTGGGGTCTGCCACACAATAGAAAAAGTATAGACAATACATCCCTATGACAGTGTAATTTTCTCAAGTGCAATGCTCTCATTGCAACCTTTTAAAAAATGTTTTCTCACAAATCATGAACACATAAGATTCTTGATTATGTTAACCCAACTGGGGGGTGGGGAGGAAAGCAATATCATACCTTGTTGGCAGCCACCAAGACTTTATCAAGAAATCGCAACCATTCAAAGATAAAAACTGGCCTCTTTGCTTCCGTGATTTGAGCCAAAGCTTCCTCATTTAGCAACAAACTGTGGGCTAACTCCATGACTGACGTTTTATATTCACACCTTAAAGTAACAAATTTAAAAAAGCACAACTTGTTAAAAGTCCAGCTTCGTGATTGTAACCACTAAGAAATGAAAAGTCAGGCTTTCCCTCTCGTTTCTTTTGAAAGAAACTTACATAACTTCTTTGTGGCAAAACCTGAGAACTAAAATTTAAAGGACAAGGGTACCAAAAAAAATCAAAGAAAGTAATCATTAGTGGGGGGAGGGGGAGGAGGATCGGGTAAAATAACTGAAATAGTTGCAAATGAGGCATTTTCCCAGAAAAAAAAAATGCCTACAAAAAACACAGGTCAATAACCCATCCCATGAACCGGAAAACGGAAAAGCACCGAGACCAAACACCTGCCGGGCCCGCCAGCCTGGCCTTTTCTCGTCCACCGCTGGCTGCACCGCACCCTCCCCTCCCGGCTGCACCGGGCCCAGCAGCCTATCCAATCGTCCCAGCAAGAAGGCCCCGCACTGGACGTCTCCCTGCGTCTTCCTACAGGAACGGGGCGGGCGGCCAGGCCCCCCAGGCTGCAGCTGC